AGGGCAAGAAAATTCGTAAATAATAATGATTTTCCCTAATTTGGATTTTACAGGTGAGTTATTGTTGTCCACAATGAGGGTAGCAGTTTTTTTATAGTAGTGTTGAAACTTGGATAAGCATGGAATAATAATAATACAACACAAAATGTACGTAAACAAAATGTATTGAAACAAGGAAAGGGTACACAATATTTACAGTTAGTTTTGGTATATTCTTGGGAAGACTGTTCCTGCATAATGGGTTGACTAAATCGCAGTCGGGCAGAGTCTCTGGATTGGATCTCTTAATCTTCCTTCGTCTTCCGGTACCAACCCATATTTATATGGTCGGTACTCCACTTATGTAAATTAGGTGTATCATACACAACAAGTAGTATAATGATAATTATATTTGATAATAGCTAGAAGTATAACCGAAAGTCCTCGGACATACGAAACATTCGGACAATTTCTATGTAACTTACGTCCACAAAAAAGTTTATAAGAACATAAGAAAAACTAAATAAAAACTTAACCGCAGTATCTTGCCAGTTGTTTTCAATGAAACTTGTATAAAAGAGGGATTTATAAGCAAATCCACAATTATCTATTCTAGTGGACACAACCTGACCTACACCCGGCACAGGCGACATAAGACCGCCTATCTACGTTGACTGTATAGAATGTGATTCGCTACCTCATCGTCATCGATGCCCGTTGGAGCAGTTGGTATGACGTTTGCCTGATAACGTAACTGTCCGGGTTTCAATTCTCGGTAGTGGATGCGCACTGCTGACGAGTCCAGTGCTTTCTGCATCCTGTTGAGGTTTCTTCTGGTATAATGATACTAGACTCGATGAATTACTTAATTACATATATATATATATATATATATGCATATATGTATATATCTATATGCCAGCAACATCCAGTCAATGAAGAGAGACATCAAAATCCGCAAAAGCAAGGCATGGGGTGTTCTAGATAGTCATCTTGAAGTCCTCCCTCTGACAAATTTCAGAAGGACTTCTTTAAGGCCACGGTAGAATCTGTCTTGCACTACGGCTCAACAGTATGGACCCTGACGAAACACCAAGAAGCATCGCTTGACGGAACATACACAAGAATGTTACGAGTTGCAGTGGCCATGACCCAACAAAGAAACGCCTATATGGACACCTTCCTCCTGTCTCAGTTTCACTAAGAGAGAAAAGGCTTCGGCTAGCTGGTCACTGGTCAGATCTTGTGAGTGACACCCTCCTATGGAACCCGTTGCACGACAACAGATCGGTTGGAAGTCCTCATCATACCTACATTGACTTAATTTATAGATGACTCTGGATAACATGTGGAGGATCTGCCAATAACGATGTCTGACAGAGATGGTTGGAGGGAACGATTCAAGAGAATCCGAGAAGAATTCACGACCTGATGATGATAAGGAGGATGACATTTATGGTTAAAAGGACTCAATATTAGGAATAGAACGTATATAAATATAAAAGAGGACACTGAAGTTAACGACAGTCTGTTTCATGTTTCACCACGATCCTCAGTTCAAATATGTTGTTTGGTCGTTGGACTATTTATATAGGCCAATGAATGGGGTATTATCGCTACCAAGGCCATCTATTTCCGGTTTATTGTAATATCATAACGGTTATTGAGTT